CTGAGCCTGCTGTAGATATTGCTGTTGGGCTGACACATTTGTAGTCATCACCAAGGCTACGACGAAAGTGTTCTTCTACAAAAGGATCAATGATTCCTGATTCCACAATTTCACGTCTGTGAGGACCTGGGTAACAAAACATTTCTGTTGGACCATAAAGGTGGGATGGGGCCATAAAACCAACTGGCCTGCGAATAATATTGGTGGATGTGATTACAGATGGCCGTGAGTGTGGAGGAAGGTGAGAGTGCATGTATCCAGAGTCCTCAGATTTTGGAATAATCGAGATAAGAGGAGGTGGCCCAGAATCAATTCTTGACTTTGTATTTGCTACTGGGTTTAGTGGGGACCTGCAAAGACCATAATCAGTTAATTAAAGTGATACAAAAAGCAAGTAACTCAATATTGTTTAACTTCACTGTTTAATCAAAATGTGATTTATTTTTCAGGAAACTCAATCAATCACCAGACAATAGTTAGAGGCACACCTCTCATAACCATACCAAAATAACATGAAATTAACAGTTTAAACTAAGGGTAGAAGTCTAAGTGGAACTCATGAAAAAGCCTCATCTAAGAACTCCCAACAATAGAGATATCAGACTTGAATTCAAATGATATTTCAAAATTTAAACTACGTGTCACAAACAAATGAGGGATGCTGCTCTGCCTGATTCATAACGCATGAGCTGCTGGTTTAATCACGCTGAGCCCACTGATGAAACAGACATTAGCTTGGAAATAGAAGATTAAAATGGGGTTCCACAACATTAGTTCATATTTAGAGATGTGTAAAAATAAATATTCATTTGCTGTAAAGCCTCTGAGGTGATATTTGATAATTTGCAAATTTTAAATTGATTGGAATGCTTGCTACAATGATCTTGGGCTTAGGGTTACCAGTGTTTTGCTGAATTATCCTCACAAACCAGGGTATGGTACTCTATAGACTTTCAAGTATGCTTAAGCTTGTAAACCCAATCCACAATATTTAGATCAGATTATGGATGGCAGTAGGAGGCACAGTGGCCTCATGGTTGGTGCGCTTGACTCCAGATCAAGTGATCCAGTTTTGAGCCCTGGCCAGGGTCATTGTGTTGTGTTCTTAGGCAAGACACTTTACTCTCACAGTGCTTCTCTTCACCCAGGTGTACAAATGAGTACCAGCAAATATGCTGGGGGTAACCTTGTGATGGACTAACATCCCATCCAGGGGGAAGTTGCAATACTCCTAGCCACTTCATGCTAAGGAAACTGGAGTTAAGCGCTGGCCCCATTGGCCACCTGGGCCTATATAAAGGCTTTACTATTACTATGGATGGCAGTAAGTACAAAATGAAGAAGTGTTTGATCCATCTAAAACCTTCACATTATTCAAGTTTCCCATCTAACTGCAACAAAATACAGGGATGCAGTCTACATAATTCAGACATCTTTTACTTGTCAGCTCACACCAGTAAGTAAGTAAGTAAAGACTTTATGTTATGAAGGTTAGCACAAACTAGCTGGCGCTAATAACCTTGTGGCCCTCTAAATAATAAATGAATAAATTATAAAATAAAAAATGAGTATACTAAGCTATTAAAAATACAAGGTAAAAAAACCAAAGAATACAGATACTATAGAATCTACTAAACTATTTAAAAGATAAAATATAACCTTATAATCATGTCACAATTCATCAGGTGACTTAAATAGAAAAATGATCAAGATTCTGCTGTTGTTTAAAAAATTCATTCCACAATGCTTTTTTTAAAGAGTCCACTGAATCTCTTTGCCCTACAAGCAAAGATAAACTGTTCCATGCTTTCCAAGTTGTGACGGTTAAAGTTCTGCCCCCTTCTGTTTCGCAATTATATCTCGGAGAGGTTAGGTTAAAATTACAGTATCTGGTTTTACTGTAGATGTTGCTGTATAATTTAAGTAGATTGATAAGATAAACAGGGACATCACCTTGTAATTCCTTATAAGCAATGATACATTCAGATATTAAAACGTCTTTATAAAAAGGCAACCATTTCAGCCAATCAAACAAGGGAACTGATGATGCTAGAGGGGGGACAAATAAGAAAGGAAAAGTCTAAGGTAACCCCAGTAGATGTCCCATGACCACTTATGGGAAAGTCCACTGATGAGAATGTGTAGATACACAGTTTGCAATGGTGCTTGATTGGCTTTCGACATATGGCAGACTCAAATACAGCTGTTCATTAGGAGTCTGTTTAGGAGTCTGTTATTTAATATAACTTCTTTCCTATATCATGAGTTTTGAGAGCTAACTTTTATGGTCCTTAAATCTATGTTACAATAGCTTTTCTAAAAGGAATTCCGAATCACTCCTCAAAGTTAACTTACAAGAACGATGCAAGAACTATAACCATATAATTTATTTTACAACATTCCGGCACAGAAAATATTCTGTTCCTATTAGAATGGAAGTGATCCTTCAAGTTTCTACCAATTTCAACTAAAGGAATGTGAAAAACTCACATGACAAAACCAGTAACGGTAGCACTGTGCTATAGATTCGGTTTGCTTTTCTTCTTAACGACTAAATGTAAAATTACATTTTTACACATTTCCGTGAAAATTGTGATAACACAATGCGTGCAGCACATTAAAAACAAAATGAAAACATTCCAAATAAATATAACAATTTCTGAATCTACGACTAAAATGGCAGCGTTGTAAAAAGTGACGACAAAGTATACCAAGGCAAGTACTAGACCCCACAGCTGACACCATCAGAAGGCATAAATTACACAAAATGGAGGCAATACTTACGTTTGTGTTCCTGCTGTCTTCACTGACGAAAGTTTCTCAAGACGACCGTCATCAAAATTCAACGCTTGAGAAATGTCTCGTCTTTCAAGATTTCGTTTCCTCCGGTTTTCAGCTGAAGGCATCACCTTGGGTGATTCCTCGCCTGCATCCGTCTCCGTTTCTAGAATTAAGGTTTGAAAATAATCAATCGAGATATTTTCATTACAAGCACATTCGCGTTCAGTTTCCAGCATGCATCGGTTTGTAGTAACAAGCGGGACAATCTTTCAACCTTTCTTCATGTCCACAGTGAATCCTCTCACCATTATAAATAAATTGTAGAAAACAGAATCTTAAAAAAATTTTTTCTTCAAAAGTTAACCACTGACAGACAAGTGGCACGACGCCGTAACGTAATAATCGTTTAGCAACCAAAGAATTGTCTTACTTTATTTAATAGCCCAAAAATTTGCACGGAATGTTAGTGATGCAAGCAACGTGCCCACTCTTTCATAACAGTTCTGTAACTTAATGGTTCTTGGTGAAAACAGGTAGCCCACAAAAATCAATACGAGCTACGCCGTGTAGAGTTTAAACAAGAACATCATGTTGTATTACTCTTCCTTCTTCTTAGGACCGTCTAATAACAATATGACGGTGTCGAATTTGGATTTTTTTGTTTATTGGTATAACGAGAAATTGTTCATACCATGCATAACAAAACTATATGCTATAAATATACTGCTAAGCGTTTCACATAAAAATTTTGTTATCGTTGAAAGCTGAAGAAAAGGAAGAAAATTTTGCTTGTTAGGTGCAGTAATATCGGAGAGAACTTGAACTCAAATATCTGTACACACATGTTCTTCGCATGTGGCAAATACCTTCACGTAAACACTAAGAATAAACCTGAAATAGTAAGCTGTAAAAACATGTATACGCGCCTTTAAACCTAAAAAGATGTGAGACAGAATCGATACTTATCAAACTTACTTTCTCTTGTGTCTGGCTGCACTAAAGAAGCGGCTCTTGACAGTACATCTAGCGGAGTCTCCATTACCTGAACGTGAAGAGTCAAAGATAGCTAGGGATAAACAATGAGCTCAAACGATCGGAGGCTCAATGAGAAATTCACATCCCTACGATATAAAGAACTCACCATAATTATATATCCCTCAGTTAGAGGGAGCCTTGATTAAATGCCTTCCTAACAGATCATTCCAGGCAGTACCATTTAATAAATAGAAACAAACATTTGATTTGTGTTTAGGAATGAAAGGAATTAGTCATGATGCAAACCCCGTGACCAAACTATGTCGTTCGATCACCGTGATTGGCTAGAGGTGCGTGACATCGTCGCCAGACTCGCCAGAATAGTAACTGACAAATCAAATGGTTAGAAAGTGAACTGAAAGCATGAAGCGGAAATGGATATTTGGTAATCACTGACTTCCATGTCAATTAGTTTAGATCAATTCTAAAATGAAATTGACGCAAATTTCAATTGTAGAAGGAGGACACCCTATTCAAACACATTGCAATACTCGTTTAAGCCCCCCTTTTTGTTTGATACGTTTCTCAGACTTTCGTCGTCTTCGATGATATTGAAAATTTCGGGTCTAGGAATGATCGATGGCATCGAGATTCAAAGAAAATTAGCAAACGATTAGTTCAAATCCTAATATAAAATCGCTTGTTCTCGTCTTGGCCTACAGACAGCCTTGACATATTTTGTAAGCCAATGTTGTTAGGACAGAACGGTTTTGTTGCTAGCGCTCATCAGTTTCGGCCGTGCAGTTCATTCATAGAGGCAGTGGAGGGCGCCAAAAGGAGAACCTAAACAATTTTGACCTATCATATCTCTCTTCTCTATGATTCAGACTCAAAATATCTTATGCATAACCAAGAGAAAATAATGTCCCAATATTTTCTGTCATAACTGAGAGTGTAAAAAATAAATCTCAGGAAATTCTCATACTCGATGTATCTCTGGGTTTACTTTTCTAGAGAGCACTCAAAGTGGAAAAAATGCAGGAAGAACTATTTTAGTGCTATCAGTGACTTCTTCAGTGTTAGACAAAGATTGAAACTGAATTGTAACAAATACGTTCATGAATTTTCCCCCTTGAAATTCATGCAATGTGAAGATTGCATGCAATGTAATATCACGAATAGGCGAAATTTTTTTCTTACAGGGTAAAATTCAAGATTGTTACATGAAAGCTATCTGTTTTAAGTAACATGGCGTCTGTCAGTACCGAAAGTGGAGTGCAGTTTGCACCATATTCTAGTGCTGTTGATGCTGCATTTTGGCATAGACTTACGCAGAACAAACTGGAAATATATCAATTAGACGACAAGCCTCAACCGCTACAGGGATATTACGTAAACAGTGAGTATGGTTCAATTAGGGAATGAGTGATCAAGCATAATTTTGGTAAAATTGAACAAACGCATTTCTCTGTGAATTTTGAAATTAAGACTCATTGATTATAACTTACGCTAGATACCAACCAATCCAACAGGAAATCGGACTTAATTCCGAAGTAATTTTTCGTGGTTTTTCTTCAAAAGATTAGATAGGTACCAATTATAGCTACTCCTTTAAACTAAGGCTAATTTTCTTTTGTATTTAATTAAGCTTAATTTCAAGTAAAAATTGTTAATCGGGTTCAATGTAAGTTTTAGGTAGGTAATTTAGTGTTATAACTGAGTTGAAAACGTAAATTGGCCATCGTAAAAGGTAAAAAAGCTGACGTTTCGAGCGTTAGCCCTTCGTCAGAGCGTTAGATATAAGTAATCTGGTTTTCTGAAACAAATGCCAAGCCTGAGAGTGACTCTAGAAGAAGCTTGATGTATTCTGTGTTCTGGCTGCGAGCAACATTGCCACAATGCGGGGGTTATATTAAGGGTAAATTAGGGTAGTACATGGGGATAAAGGGAGAATTTTGTGGACCAAGGTAGTGTGGCTTGAAACAGGCCACAGTACAACTGTCTAGAGAGAGTTTAAAGTAATGACAATGACAATACTTTATTCAAGAGAAGGAAAATGAAAAATTGCAAAAGTATCTCTCGAAAGGAGATATTCTAGAGGTTAACCCTATACAAAAGATTCCCCGAATAAAAAGACCAAAACACTATATACAGATAATTAAAAACATACATACCTTTTACTAACCAAGTTTGAGGTCTGTACTGCCAGTTAAGGACCAAGTTTTTCCACTCAGTTTTATTGCGGCTCAAGCATGAAGTTCAAATAGGGGGAAAGTTTTCAATTGAAACAAAATTATGAAAAATGGTGGGCTATATTGACCAATAATAATGCACATATTAGCTGCGTCATCTACCCCCCCGCCTGGAAAAAAATGAAATAAAATGATAAATAAAATAATAATGATAATAGGGGTGACTTGCTGTTTTTTATGGAAATGAGTAATTTTGTCATGCTTTTTTTTTATTGTTAGCAGGTAATTCAAATGATAAAAATATTCTGCAACCCTTATGTGTATTTAGTCTGCAGGGTTTCATTTTCTTTTCCTTAGGTGATCCTTCAGGGCTTGTATGCCGCTTTAATTTGGATTATAATGCCTTTTCTATGTAAGTGCATAAAATCCCTGCCCCACTTATGTGTGGCTCAGTGTTGTCCTTTTTCCAAATGACCTTTTCCATTATTTTTTTCTGCAATCTGTATGGACCTGGCATCTTTCCATGGCTTTTGTTTTAACCATTTAGATTAGAGATATTAGAGAATTGGCATGATTCAGTACCAGGGGTATCTGTCTGACTGAAAAGAATGATTTTATATTCATTTTCAGCTTGAAACTAATATAAAATAGTAACTGTGGACCATGTTTAATAATTATATAAATTTTATTTTGTTACTGATAACTAATAGCTGGATAGTAGAGAGGATCTTAATAAGTTAAAAAGAGGAAAGGTTGACTTTATTAAGTGGTTTCATGCCATTGTTGATTTAGATCTGAGGGAAGGCATTCAAAGTTCAGTGTAAACTTGATTTTCCAGTGAGAAGCCAGCACCTCAAAGAACATATCCTATGCAAGGAACATTGATCAATACAAACACTATTGAGGCATTCAGAACATACAATAAAATGGAGCTGATCCAGTCATTTGGACAAAAGGTAAATTAACTGTGATAGTTATTTATGGAAAATGGTAGGCTTTGAATTCTAATGTTCTTACTACCATTAACCATAGTTTGATTTGCAGAAAACTCTGACTAAATAATTCCCTTGGGAGAGTTGTGCAACTTTATTATGTTAATTGACTGATTTAGAACATCATCTCCATACAGTACATCTGCAGGCTCATAGAAATAACATGTTCAGAATGCCTTAAATGTGACCAGTTCTGCTTACAATTTTCAGAGTCCACAACAATCCTTACAGATGGAGTATTGAAAACTTTTTTACCAACCAGTTCTATGATTGCCAATGATTCATGAAAAAAGCCAAAACATATGATGGAACATTCCATCATATGTTTTTCACATGCCCTTTAGTCAGTTACGAAGTGACTAAAATATAACTAGAAAAGAAGCATGACTTGAAATGAATCATTAGTTGTTTAAATAAGTCTTAAACTTTGTATTGAAGATATGGGATAATGTAAAATCAAGCAAGGCTTTGGAGGACCCATCAGTGCTTTGTCAGTTTGTGCTTATGACATTTGCTGTAAGTTCCTTTTTTTTATGTTTTCTGGTTCTTGTATCTATAAGTGGGATATAGTAAATGAATAATGTTAACAGTGATCATAATATTAATTTCATTTGTCTTACGAGAATGCATCAGTTGATATTAAGTAAATTCTGGTGTAAGTCCATGCAAAGGAACAGATGATAAAACTGAACAAACTATTGATATTTATATGAGTGACACTATATATAGAAGAGAACTAGTAATAATTATTGGTTTCCTCTCAGATAACTCTGAGTGTTTAGTAACAGAGTGTGTCATTAACTTGTAGATGTTGTGGTTAAAAATTTTCTTGGCTTAAAATATATTCATTGATTTTTATTTTCCTTTGTTTTGTGTTGTTATTAATGAATAGAAGACAAAGGAATATAAAATCAACTTGGTTTGAAAAATTATTTGAAATCAAGAAAAAATTAAATAACTCCAGAAATGTTGCAGCAAGAACAACATGTACAAGTAGTTGTTTCAGAAACTTGTCCAACTGAGCAACTTTCCTCCAAAATAAGTGAGAAATAGTGCTGACTGTTGTGGTTAATGATGTAATCATTCTTCATGTGTTTTTCATCAGGATCTAAAGAAATATAAGTTTTATTACTGGTTTGCATTCCCTGCTTTATGTCCTGAGACCAGTGCTACTCATGTGGCTCCTCCTGTTCATCTTGGTGACTACTTTACACCCTCCCAGGTGAGAACAAATGTTCAGTTTGCTTGTTTTTTATGGTTGTTAAATGACATTTGACTTGATTGTGGGTTAAGGATTTTATTATTAAATGCTTAATATGTTTATTTTTATTAAATTTATTTGTTGTTTTAACTCTATAGATTGCTAGTCTCCAAGCATCGTATGATTCTCTCTCTGTGGGTGGTCTTGGTGAGTAATTATGATTATCAGAATCAAGCTATGAGTTTTCTGCAGTTCAATTTAACACTAAATCCCCATTAGGAACCCACAAACATAAATCAAAGGCTCCTTAGAGTTACCTCACAAATTTCTTAATTTTTCAATAAAGTGATGAGAGTCCTTTGCCATCTCCCTCCAATATTGCATGACATACCCTTTACACCTTAACATCAGTATTCATATTCTCCATACTGTTCTCTGTACATTTCCTAAGGTGCTGACAAGGAGAATTTGTTTACAATCAAGAGTTTTCTTTAGTTGGTGATCATTTCCTTTGTTCTCATGACATTAATGTGTGATTCAGAGGTGATATTGTAAGGAGAAATTAAATGCTAGTCACTCTTAGGGGATAAAAGGTTAAATCACTTGTTAATTATTGATTTCAAAAGCACTAGCCAGAGTGCTGAAAGGAAACCACATGCTTAATAACAACAGACAAATTGATGGCCTAACAGTAACTATGTTCATAGTTACCATGGTGTAAAAATGAAAGAACTCAATTATCCTTCTTTAACTACCACAGTCATTGAGATACCTTAATGTGAGATGCATTATGCTTGTCAGCATCTTTTATTTTGATACCCCTTGTAAATTAACAATCAGCACTTTTTTTTACAGATTGTCATAATCAAAGGATTATGTTTCAACAGTGACTTATTATTGATTATGGCCCAGGTCACACTACAGCCCAAACCAAAAATTAGGCAGCTTAAAAATTTTCGAAAATTTGAAAGCACAACCAGAAGAGCTGAAAAATGTGACAATATTTGGGTCACACTACCAAAATACATAAACAGGTCAAAATCAACACAGTTGATCAGATTTAATTTCTGGTGCATATTGTGTGGTAATAAACATGAACCCAAATCAGGTATTTTGCTTTGCTTTTGCCATTCTACCTCTGCAAATTATTGACATGCAACAGCAGCAAATGTTTGCCTTTTTCATCCTGTATCAGAGATGGGTAAATGAATACATGCAAATCCTGAATGTCGCTTTTCTAAGAAGACAGTGGCATTTACGTAAAATTTGTGTTGTGCCTTACACAAGGACCATTCCTCACCCAGCTGAATTATGGTTTGATATTCATTACTTGAACCCTGTGCTCCTCTTGCGGTCATTTGTTGTATTGTTTTTTTTCTTTTTCTGCCAAACCCTCAGCTGACCTGGAGCTGGTTGGGCCATCACTCTCACCACACTTGCTAGACTATCGGACCAATTAAGCAAAATTCTGCTGGGTCCTGCTTGATCTAAGATCGGTCCAGCCAATGTAGGGTTGAAACGACAAAAATTTTGGCTTGAGAATGATCCCAGTGCATAAAATAAAGGATAATATAAAGGAAAACATCCATCCATGCTGAAAGTTGGTGGGTGAATATCAAAATTCCTGCCAATTAAATAGTTTAACTGCAGGTCATATCTAGCTCAAATGACTGGCATTGACAGCTTTGGAAGCAGTGTCTTCTTTTTTTTCGATTTTTTCAAAATCTGCCTGCTCCATCCATACACTTAATGTCATTGAAGTTTCTGCAGACTTTCCAAAATTTTAGATATTTGTAATACACCGGTCGCATAAGGAAATGCATTGTGATGACAGACATAAATCCTTTTTGATGGATTATTGATCAAAACTTCCCTTGTGCGACCCGGGCCTATTTTACCATCCTTCCCCTTTTTTTCTAACACCTTAATGTGAGATGCATAATGCTTGTCAGCATCTGTTATTTTTTTTAACACTGTCAAAGAATATTTGAACCATTTAATTTAAATTAATGTGACAGAACTGCACAGTTTTTTTTTCTGGTAGAGCTTTCCCCCTAGTTAAAGTAAAAAATTCCAAGAAAATTGATTTGTTGCCAACAGGACCTGGATTCTTTCTCGTCAAGGTTACTGAAAGTGAGGTGACTGTGGGAAATATAAGAGAATGGGAGACATTTTTTAGCATGGATGATTCAAAGGTGAGGCAGATGCTTAGATCTGTCACACAGAGTTACAACAGATTTATGTTACACTCCTTAATCAAAACAAAATAATCTTGATGTATGTCATGTACAGTAAAATGCAAAACCAAACCATTAGCCATTGGAAGAAAGTGGTGACAAAGGCTTGGGACAAAATGGAATAATTTATTTTTGCTATTACTAGCACCATGCCTTTGTCCAACTGCAGAGTAAGCCCATCTTCTCCCACTTGGCTAAGAGGAAATGAAAGAGACTTCTCCCAAGGCTATTGAACTACAGTATGTATGTGGCTACACACATGCTATTGCATTTCTCTGCTATTTGTCATGTTTGTGATGCCTTTCATTGTCTTTTCACTAAAAACCCACATATTTGGAAGGAAAAAATTAGCAGATATATTTGGTGAAGGGGAGAGAAAATTAGGGTGCTTTGTTTATGGTAACATTTAGAATGATCTTCCAAGAATAAACTAAATCAGGAGAATAAGTTTGACTCTGTGTGAAATTAATCTAAATTGATCATAGCAAGATTTGTGCTATCTCAAATAGATTAATACCTATGAAGGAGCTAAGATTTAATTTTTTAGAAAGTGATGGGTTATTGTTATTGTTGAATGTACAGTTCATGGTGGGATTTGCCGATCCATGCACACTGCCAAAAAATCCAGGCTGGCCTCTTAGGAACTTTCTTGCTCTACTGTCATACCACTGGTAAGTACATGTGGAAAATGTTGATGAGCAGAACTCATTGATTACAAAGAAATTTTCTTCTGTCTTGCACTCTGCTAGGATCAGCAATGTTGAAAATGTCATGTGAGTAGATGGAATAAAAACTATGGTAAATTACAGGCTTGCTAATGAAATAAAAAATATGTTTTTTGCCTTGATCATGAGACAACAAGATCTCAGTCCACATTAGGAGTCAAACTTTAAACTATTACTTTTGTGACCTCAATTTGTTTTTGTGGTTAAATTTACTATGGTTACTGGTACCTTTAGTTAAGATGATATTCCTGTCATTGTTACATCCTTTTGCACATATTTTTGTGCATCTTACCATTATGATTAAATTTTTCCTGTTAGTACTGATGGCCATCTTGCACATCAATTAGTTGCAAGAGTTCTATCATTTGTTGTACTATTACTCTTAAATATGTTTCTATCTTCAATTACAGGGGTACTGCACTTGAAAATGTGAAGGTTTTATGCTTGAGAGATCAAGTCAGATGTGGAAAAAGAGAAACATCCCACAGTTTGGTGTTAAATATCAAACTACCCATGTTTACTAAAACTGGTAATGATTCATTGTTATTCAGTAATACAGTGTAAGCATGAACAAGAAAAGCTTGTAACCGGTTTATGGTCTTAGTTTCCTAAGCTTTCAAAATCATAAATTTATGGAGAATGTTGAAAGATTCTCTTGGGTTTATATCTTTAGGAGAGACTAAGATTTCTATTGTTTTCCTCTTTCATAAACAAAGTATTCTAAGATCTCTTTCTCTTTGCACTGGTAGTTTAGAAGAGTTTTTGTTTTTCACCTGATTTCAAAATAATATTAAGCTCTCTTTCAAGAAAACAAAAGTAACAGTTACAATTTCTCTCCAGTGAGTTCTACTGAATTTTGTTTTTCTCAGAGAGTCCCAAGTGTGTTGGCTGGGAAAAGAATAAAAGTCAAAAGCTAGTACCAAGGATGGTGGATCTGAGTTCTACTATGGACCCTGAGAGGTGATCACTTTTGAGTGCTAACACTGCATTCTTTCTATATATGTATTTAACTCGCTATAGTTTATTTTTAATAGTTTTTTTAAAGGCTTAAAATATAGAACTTGCTTCGTAAGTCTTTATGGTTTTAAGGGCCTTTTCTGCAAAGCTCTACACACACTGTTTTCTGCCTAGAGCTTGGGAGAGAGGTAAATCATTGTTCGTCTGGATTTGCATTGAATTCTAGGCTTGCATCATCATCAGTGGATCTGAACTTAAAGCTAATGCGATGGAGATTGCTACCATCACTTGATCTGGACAAAATTGCACAAACAAAATGTCTTCTCCTTGGCGCTGGTACCCTTGGTTGTAATGTGGCAAGATGTCTATTGGTATGCTACCTAACTGTAATGTGCTATCATAGATAAACATTGTGTTAACAAGCTGAAAAATATCGGACACCTTACCCATGCCATGAAAGGACGGACCCATAAGCATATTAGGAACAGGATACAAGATAGTGAGCTTTGAATGCTGGGCTTCCCTCATCCAGCGGCGGAGAGACAGGCGGAGATCTCAAATACAAGACTGACTAAACACAAACGAGCGATTTGAAAAAATGACGCGAACGGTCATTTTTCTGAAAATACTTCTATCACTGCTGGACCAATTATGTATGATATAACTGCTTTTATCGGATGACCTCAGAAAGCTGGTTAACTGGCTAACTGAGAAGAGACTCTTCTTAACGGATGTCAACAACCTCTGGCTCCATGCGTATTACTCATTCACGACATATTGACGTGACAAACGACATAACTTCACCAATGGATCATGACTAACCGGTTTACAGTCAAGTCGGCCGAGAGTCATCTCGCCCGAAGTCATGTCACCCGAAACCTGAGTCAGGTTGCCCGAAATTTTAGTTATGTCGCCCGAAAAAAAAAAGTCAAGTCGCTCGAAGAAACAATACTAAAAACATCAGAATTTCAGACTATAAATAGACAATAAAGTTGGGAAATTTTTATCACTAAGGCGCTCTTTGTTTCCGACAACTCCCTGAAGATTCTAAAAGCGAAAAAAAAAGAAACAAATACCAAAAACATCAGAATTTTAGTGTACGTTTGAGTAACGATTCTAGAAGCGTTATTCGTTTCTAGCAACAAAGGAAAGCGTTGTCCGTTTCTAACAACAAAATGAAGCGTTGTTCGTTGGTATGTACTCGTTTCTTACTAACGGACATTTCGTAAGCTTGAGAAACTCTTTCTTGGTTTCTAACAATACCATGAAGACTTTGACCGCACAGAAATCGATCGCATGGTCGGAAATGAAATATGTTTGAGTAACGATTCTAAAAGCGTTGTTCGTTTCAGACAACAAAGGCAAGTATTGTTTGTTTCTAACAACAAAATGAGGCGTTGACTTGTCGAACGCGACAATCGACATTCGTTTACCAAGTTTTTTCATGTTATTGTTAAGAAAGTCACAAATAGACACAACAGAACTTTACTTGTCATGGTATTGTTAGAAAACAAGATAAAGTTTCTCAAGCTTACGAACCGTCCGTGAGTAAGAGACGATTACATACCAAACGAACAACACTTCATTTGTTTTTAGAAACGAACGACGTTTCCCTTTATTGAAAGGAACGAACAACGCTTTTAGAATCTTCGAGTTGTCGGAAACAAAGAGCGCTTTAGTGATAAAAATTTCCCAACTTTATTGCCTATTCACAGTCTGAATTCTGATGTTTTTAGTATTTGTTTCTTTGGGCGACTTGACTTTTTTTTCGGGCGACATAACTAAAATTTCGGGCAACCTGACTCAGGTTTCGAGCGACATGACTCTCGGGCGACTTGACCGGTTACCAACCAAACACAAGTGACTCACGCTGCTTTGGTCCTACTTCCAATAACATCACGTCACAAATGGCCAATCAGTTCCCATGAATCAGACCACAAATCCTCCATTTAGCACCTTCCCCTCAAATGAGCGCGCCTTACGAATTAACGCCCAACGCTCCCCCCCCCCCTCAAAAAAAAGGATAATAAGCACTTCTTCCCCTCCTGCACTATATTTTATTGAGGGTGATAACTTTTGCCGAATTAGTTGCTGTACTAGATTTGCACATTTATTCTGTGCATTTTCCAATTGTTAAATGTTTTTCTTTCTTTTTAAGGGCTGGGGTGTTCGGACCATTACCTTTGTCGACTATGGAACCATTTCATTCTCCAATCCCGTTCGTCAAACTCTGTTTGAGTTTGCCGACTGTCAGGACGGAGGCAAGCCTAAAGCAGAGACTGCCGCCTCTGCACTTAAAAGGATATTTCCTGGTGTGGTAAGATTTACTAGAGTGCCAGTACTATTTTGTTTAATATTGTTGATTGCGAGGATGACACCTAACATTATCAAACCATCACTTAAATTGTTCAATTTCGTTATAGTTGGTTCGTTAGTTATGTAGATTGGAAGGAATTTAATAGCCATTCCACTGTTTATATAACTTTTATTCAGTGGTTTGTGTATTTGATTATCTTTTTTTTTTTTGCCACTTCGTAAAACGTTTGTGTTTTGTCGATAGAATGCGTCAGCTGTACAGTTGTCCATTCCGATGCCAGGCCACTCTGTTGGACAATCTCCAGGTAAAGAAAACTTTCCTTTGTAAGTTGTTTGATATATCACTATCTGATCTGTGATAATTTATCTCTACAATGTTTCAATAACGACAATTGCTTTTATAGAGGAAATGGAGAAAGTTCAAGGAGATGTGAAAAAACTTGAAGAGTTGATTGAATCTCACGATGCTGTATTTCTGCTGATGGACACACGAGAAAGCCGCTGGCTACCGACAGTTATTGGCGCTGTTAAAGGGAAGGTAATCTTAGGCTAACTTTTATGGAACTTTGAAAAACCAACCAGGTACAGTTAAAGTAAAGAGGCAGCCTTCAGAAAAATGGATATACTTCAGTAGGTACTTTGACATCTCAAGTACTTTACAGACCACTAGGTAATTATGATGACAACTTGAAGTTTGAGATCAAAAACCAGTTTCTCGGCTCCAGACGAATCAAATGAGACTCGTATAACTGTAAGAGGCAAGTTTGTAGTATCCAACTTCATTTGAGGGAATGATTGTTGTCAAGTGTCTATAGCTATCATGAGGTTCAAAAACGTGCACCTAAATTTTTTTTCAGTTTGTTATTACAGCGGCTCTTGGTTTTGATACATTCCTTGTGATGCGCCATGGTTCCAGACAGAAAGCGCATGTTATTTGCGAAGGAGCGTCCAAACTAGAGTCCATACCAGGAGCCTCTCTGGGCTGTTATTTTTGTAATGATGTGGTGGCACCAGGAGACGTAAGTCATTTAAACCACAGTACATACTATTTAAGCGATAGACCGACCTTTCTATCGGTTTACCGGCGTTATAACCTACTTGGGATTTTGGAAGAACACAAGAAAGCTTCTTCAAGTTTGTAGATCACGAGCCGGAGGCAAGTCATTCACAAACTTTCCGAGTGTTCTCCCAACATTCTGAGAGGATTATCGCGCTATTAAACCGTTAGGAAGTGCGGTCTTTTACTTTTACAAATTAGAATTAAAACAAAACACAGTATGTTTCAATTTTATATGGGATCACCGATGCAATAAACAATAGGTTTTTGACCAATCAGGGCGCTCGTAATTCAGTTTTTCTTTAGTAACTTGTAGAAGTCCAACCTCAGATACTTAAATCATTTATATTTTGGAGGTGTTTCTTCCCTAAGGAGTAATCTTTTTTAGTTATAAAATAAGATTTTGAATACTTTATCAGTAATGACTCAGTTTTTGACGTTATTTTGTGGAAACAGTCCACTAGAGACCGTACGTTGGACCAGCAGTGCACAGTATCCAGGCCTGGTATGTCATACATAGCGAGTGCCCTGGCTGTTGAACTTCTGGTTTCTCTCACTCAACACCCTCTGGGGTAAGTAGGAATTCTTGTGTTATCGCTTAATTCAATTTGTAAAATTACGCTGTAGGAATGCCCATTACATACGAATCCCTATAACGTCCTGTTACACGGACAATGAAGTTCTAAATATGCAGTGGATGAAATGGAACACAAAGGATAAGATTGGCCTTACATTTCTCACTGAGACTAGTCAAAAGGTCTCAGATGGTCGAAGGTAAAATAACCGAAAGTAAACAAATTTATCGGAATGAGATTAGTTGACCTTTAATATTTCGAAATATGAATATTTTACACGTAAATCAATAAAACTTACTCATGCCCTGTGTATCCGTCGTAGTTTCTGGCGATTTCTGCCGTATGTTGCCTATCTTAAGTGTATGATATGACTGAACGCATATTAATCAGTGTAATGGGTTTGACTTTGACAGCAATGAAGCGGCCGCTGACACAAGCGCTAAAGAAGCTCATCTGTCAGCTGATCTGGAGTGTAAGTTGGGCCTTGTACCTCATCAGGTAAGATTGTTATTCGTTCTAATAGACAATGTAGTGATGTCAATATATTTCATTTATTAGGCAAAGTTTAATGTCAATTTGCTTTCTTAGTAGATACTTTGTTTGTGTTTCTTTCAAGATTCGTGGTTTTCTTTCAAGATATCATCTAGTTCTTCCCGCAAGTTTAGGCTTTGACAAATGCATTGCTTGTTCTTCCAAGGTATGACAAACTGTGATTGCCATCAGATAAATTGTTTTTTTTCCTCTTATTCGTGGTCTTAGAACACTAGGGGGCAGGTTTCTGTGAGAAACAGCTTTGGCTCGGAGGCTTTACCTCTTAGTAATTTGCTAATGGAGATATGCTGCTGGATGGGGTTGCATTTTTCAAAACTGGGTGGACTATGTTGGGGTTGCTTTTTAATACAGTTTCTTGAATGGGGTCACACATCTGCAGGATATTGGTAAGGAAAAGGTGTTCTACACTCAGTTTAACAAATTAGGACAACCAAAGGCTTTATAATGTACATCTATCACCAGATCATAACAAAGTTGGGATCGCGAAAATTGCATTTGCCAAAAAGACTAAGATGGGGTCCATAATTGGCCACAGAATAGACTATAAATGGGGTAGGGGTTCTGAGAGGCCAGCGGCACTTACCCTGAAAAATTGACCCAAGTGACCCTCTACCCGGCCCCCCGGGTTTTATACCTGCATTTATCCCAATAATTCTTAATTATTGCAACGTGTTTCGAGGAAATCGTCTGTCGCAAAACAACTTGTTCTCAGTTAAGTCACTGCGACTTGTTGGCAAGGGTGTGGCTCTCACTCTTTTGTCTGTTGTCTGTTGACAATCGTTTTTCGCTATCGGTCGATCAAGTGGAATGTATCAAAAGCGATTGATATCGATTGTCACCGATTTTCATCAAGTATTGAGTTGTCTTTTAATTGTTCTTCCAGGTTCTGTCGAGCTATGAAAAGGAAAAATTTTCTTTCCTGATAAAGGTTTTTAATGTTCCAAGCTACTTAGAAGACCTAACAGGCTTGACACAGCTTCTTCAGGACACAAGAGTTAGCGAGGTTAGTCGATGATATATCGTTCTTGGTTTCTACAGATTTTCTGTTTATCAAATAACTGTAACCATCACACCACCACTCAGTTTGAAAAATCTCAATTCGGCACTACAATCGACGGCAAACGGCAAACGGCAAAAGTCGAACGTCCCTCATTCTGCTGTCTTTTTTACATTGAATTGAAAATATTTGCATCAACTGGGAACGACTCAGTTTTTTTGAAAAATTTCCAAATTTGTGTTAATTTTTTGCCGTTTCCCGTGGCCAAAAACGTAAGGAATACACTACTTACCTAGAGAAACATCACTTCGTTATGACGCGATACTTTTCAACCTTACGTTGCCTATTACATTTAATACAATGTATTAACTACTTGCAGCGCGCTACATTTCTTGCGCAGAAGCATTGCTTACAGTTACGAAGGAAAACGGATACAGTGTATTACTGTTGATATTGTGGAACAGGTTGTGGCTATTCATGGTGGTGAATGAAATTGTCATGAAGTGTAATCTTTTCCCATGGTATACGCACCTCCCATGTGGATCGCTGAAGAAGTGTACAAGTTTGCAGAATATGCTGCATCACCGATAACTAACCTTTGCCTTTAATTCCACTGATTTTGGGGGGAAAAGCAATCAAAGAAAGAAAGAATAACTTCAGCAATCTCAATATGTGCACTGTCTATTATATGAGGGTGTAATGTTGAATAGCTAACCATCAGACGCTCCTTATATCCCTTCGTTAGAACGTAAACAAAAATTGAATATATTCTAGTGGAGAGGAAGTAGTAATAGTAATCTCACGCTGGTTTGTTGTCTCAGGTTTGGGAGATGAGTGACGATGAAATGGTAGAATAACAAAACAAAGGGAGGTCGAACCATTGTGTGATGAACGTCACCAGAGAGGACAAAAGGAACATCAAATCAAGTTTTCAACAATGATTATGCCGACACGCGGCTAGAGATGATAAACTGAATATCATCACAGAAATTATTTGATTCAAATTTTTATTTGAATTTCCGTTCAGCTGGTGTACTATACAACCAATATGATTTTTCAGACTTGTGGAAAACGGAAACCAGTTTCTGTTCATCACAGATAAAAATAGTGTCATATTCGAACGTTCTATTACCGACCAATTTTTCAATGCTTCATTTTCCGTTTAGTGAACGGATTACAAGTCAGAATTAGAGGAACAATCCAGAAGTCAGCGATGTGCGGTACATGTGACATTTGTAAAAAAAAAGTAATAAGTAAAAGTAAAAAGTAATAATTAATTTTTTGAATACTAAAATAAAGTAATTGTCTGCCCGTAGTGTCTTGTGGTCTGTCTTTTGAGAATGTTTTCTGTTCGTAATTCGCAGAGACTTGAGTCATTACTAAAACCACACCTTGAGTTTACTTTGTTTATTGAATAACTCTAAAAACAACTTTTTTTTCCAAAAACAGTCAGGTAGTAGGGAAAATTCAAAGAAAGATTTTTACGAAACGTGTAGCACTTCTACAAATGTTCAGATTTTCATCGTTTAGACTAAATGCTAGAATTAACGCTAACAAAAAGGGAAAACGAATTCCCACTAAGTATCAAACTACTGAGTGCCGTCATATTTGTTAAACGAAATCTCAAACGGAAAAATTTCGCACAAGATAGTTCTTCTCCTCTTGTTTATTTCCATGGAAAGAATGTGGTTCCATCATCGTTGGCACATGCACCGTGCTGTTTAGCTATTTAATTGTCTTTTAGAAGGGAACAGTAATTAACACACGTGTTTGTTTTTTGTTAAATTTGTGTTCACGTGTTTGCTTTTATCAAAGAGAAGATAATTTATCAAATTTAAGCTACATTCTCACGATTCTCTAGAAAGGCAATTTTAGGATATTGCTGAAAGAAAAAGGTTTTGAGTGGGACAATTTACATGACAAAAATGTCATGGACATCAACCTTTACTTTCATTCAAAACACTATTGGGCCTAATGCAGGTGAAAAAAATTAACAGATGGTGACTCGGGAAAATTAGCTGTCAGGTGTTGACGCCAACAGAAATACACTAAACTACTGAAAACAAGATTCGAAATGGCCGAACTCAGCCTGTGACGTAAGCGTACAATTGAGAGCCATGTAATTTGGACATGTCTTTGTCGGTAACAACTGAAAGAAACATGATAAAATAACGTTAAACTACACACTTAGTATAGTAAGAACGTAGAATATGGACTGCATTAATATATATCACACGGTGAGTAATACTTTTCGCGCACGCCAATTGGCTAGTTTGGCTAATTTTTTGGTTCTTGTGTGGTATATTCAAAAAACAATTATCCACGTCAGTGTCAGTGAAAAGGCTAGATAACTACCTCCTTTTCAGTGAATAATTGTTGACTATTTCTTCTTTTTGCTCAGTGAATTTTCACTCAAACATCGCTATTTAAACCACGAAAAGCAAAACAAGTAGGAAAGTGGATTGCACTAAGACAGGACAGACATTACAGTCAGAGTATGAATTGTTGGTATATGAACTAACCTGATTCACATTTTGGCGACAAAGACAGTTTCAAAGCACTCTCCTGTTGATTAAACATTACGGCTACCTGTTTTGAAAGCATTCAAACATGGTAAATAGAGCGGTAATGAAGTATCCTTCCAATAGACGGGCTTTACAGATTATGAGACAACAAACAATAAGAGAATAACTACGATTAAACAAGAATTTAACAAGGACAAGTGTAATAGTTTTGGTTCGATGGTAAGAAGAGTAAAATGTTGTATCGAACAGTCAAGCAACTCTAAGCACCTTGTGCAGCTTCAGAACGACTGTCTATTCCACCTTCGTCATAACCTGTTTGAGGGAACCTCCTTCAACCCAGCAGAAAGAGACAAAACTGTTTGTTTTGAGGGCTCACACCATGATAAAAAAACGGCAATCAAGAGTACCTGTCGCTTAAGTTGATCCAATGAAATGACCGGGCTGCCCTGAGGATTCTCCAAAAGCACAGTTCCCTTAACTACCCCAGCTCCACCTCTACACAGCAGTACGTTTACAAATTTGCACAGCGGTTCTCCAACAGTCATTTCCTTGTTTGCAGTCTGATGACCTTTCAACAACTTCAGATCAAGCATACTACCTTTAACCTAAAATTGACCATGGAAATGAGAATAAAGGCACATGAAACGAAACAAAACCAAACCTGACAAGCACACTGGTTTAGGGAAAATACTGGGTGCCCACATTTTAAAAAGAGAGTTGCAGGGTATTTTACAGTCGACGATTCCTGTTCTCTGAGGGCCATTCTGAGTCCTGTTTAAGCAGTCAGCTGTTGCGAGGTCAGGTACTAAGGAATTTTCCACACAGCTCGCAGCTCAAAAAAAAAAACTTCATTACTGTCGGTTCGTAATCGATTTCGAGTGATTATCGGTTAAGACGGAATTAAATTCTTAAATAAAGCTTAAAAGATAGTCTATGCTGTTGGCATAATCATCATGTATTTTTTATTGGATGGGAGGGCCCCTAAATCATCTATGCAGTGTGGTCACCCTAAGTAAGAGACTCAGGGCACTTGTCAGTATGCAAAAAGGTTGGTCATTAGTTTATGAATCAGACGCTAGCAGAAAGCTCGGAAAGACCGTATCCTTAAATTTTGGATACTCGCCACAATACTATTTGGATATTCTAAGCCTACACTCGCTAAGCAACTCCAAGCCAACGTAACATAACTCTAGGGACCATACGCTGATTGCTTACTGATTCACAAGCTTTCTACGTGTTTTCCAAATGTTGTGCGTTGTTCCATAGAACCCCAAAAATTGAAATTTTTTGTAAAATTAATTTCATGAACAATTAGATCAAATTTCGTCAATACTCTTCAGGCAGATGCGTCATACATACCTCTGTTTTCTCGGAAATTATTAGAGGCAAGCTCGGTGCGAGAGAACTGGACACAACAGGTTGCTTAACACTATCTTCAATGTAACCTTTGTGTTCACTGATGACGTCATCTAACATGCCTTGTGTAACGTCAAACACAATGGTGATGTCATCGCATGGCTGAAGTTGAGCCTAACGAGATGACAACGGTAAGAAGTCAGCCACGATTTGTGGGATCACAAGTTCACACCTCAACAAAACCTACCAAGGGACACTCTCGAGTTGTGTTCTAAGTCACATTATGTCCCAGTGAGGGAATAAAAAGTGGTTCGCGAATGCGAAGTGAGTTAGAAATAGCTAATTTTAGATTTAAATTCTGGTAAATATTTCCTGCCGATCGCGGTAACGGAATTTTCTAATTTTTCTAATTTTTCTTAAAGCGTAAGGGAATCTAGCAGATGAATAAAGGGGATGAGTTTATAAAGAAGCTGTGGTGCTGCGTCGGTGAGAGAGTATAACAGGGTAATTTAGCATTATCAACTGAGTTGATAACGTTAATTGGCCACCGTAAAAAGTTTAAGAGCTACAACCTGGTAGCTATTTAGGGGCAAGAAACGGAAGAAATAGGTGTTTCACTTCTGCTGCGTATTCAGGTTTATGATGGAAATTTGCCGACAGTTCCGACAAATCACACTAAAAAGCCAGAAGTCAAGGTGTCACTGAGACTAGCTGCACTTGCCTTTTTCCGCAGTTTCTGAATTCGATTGACCACTTCCCGTGCCACACCCTCAGAGAGCAAAGACTGATCCGGGGTGATATCCAAAAGAGCAAGTACCTTGATGACAACAAAACGTGCACGTTACTCATGTCTAAAACAAACGGTGGCAATAACTAAATGAGTCTGTCAGGTAAGAGCTTGTACTTCAGTTAACAGGAATCATTGAACTCTCCAGTCATATTAGCACGGATGAGATGGCATGAAGGAAATATGATATCATTGCAACCATTGGCAGTATGGTATCTTTCCATCTCATTTAACTTCTACAATTGTTTAATAGTTGAAGCACGGAGGTACGGGATTGGTTTAAGTTCTGCAATTGATTGGTTGAGATGGTCGGTGGCACGAGTTTTCTGGACCAATCACAAAGGGAAGTAAAGCAAAACCAAAGCAATCCAAGATTACTTTCGATACTCAATTAAAAATCGCTAAAAGTAATCAGCGCTAACCTCTCCATCAGAGTGTGCTTCATATGCTGACGGCGCTGATCCATTCTGATCAAACGAGTATATCACCTAACAACCGAGACAAATAGTTGTTACAATTGCATGGTGGGTATGAATAGGAACAATCTCTCTTGACTCCGCGAACTATAAAAATTGATTAGTTCGTCACCCTTAAATCTGTTCCACTCAGTAAGTGCCCAGCCACCATCAGCTCTCCTTTCTCTTTAAACACTTGTATTTCCTGGTCTGAAAGACCTACAAACATATTTAAAGTGGCATTAATTAATAGCTTCTACTGACTAACGGTCAATTAAATATACTTTCACATAAACAAACAAACTTGTCAATCTATAAGATACCTTTAATTGCCTGAGACACTTCCTTGAAGGCACCTTTCAATCTGCGCCCCAATGTCTGGTTATCAGGCTCAGCTTTGAGTTGAACCCCAAACCTGTTTTTGTCTGACGACACTGTTAACTTTCTCACATTCACCTCCTAGAGACACATCAAATACGGTTATTCGAGAAAACCACCAGTAAAGTGAATAGTAAAGTCCGCGGTATTCGATCGATATGTACCTGTTTGATATAGTCTTCCAGAGATAACACGTCATCAAGGGTCTGTTGCAGCTGGTGAATGACGACAAGCTCAGGGAGGGGATACTGGAGAAAAAAAGCTCAATGTTAGGAAGCCTACGTCGATGGAGATAACAATGCAAGTCAGGACAATGGAAGAAAGATATATTGGAGAAAGAACTACAAGAACTTCTCACAAGTTGTCCAACGCCCAACTTCAGGATAAAGGCTAACGGTAAAAGTTCATTTATGAACACATGACATACCACAAGGGTTGCCATTGCATTGAAGGGTGACTAGAACTTTCTTCACTTTGTGTGCTATCATATGAACAGTACATAGGATATCACACCCTTAGGCCAAACTCCAGGTCCCCTTGGTATGTTATCGACAATCGTTTGAAGGGAGCTCTTCCTCCAGATTTGTCCTGCCTGTCACGCATCCGCAAGTGATTTGAAAAACGCGAAGGGGTCAGTTACCCTTCACTGAGAATTACCCACTGACTTTCACTGCCTATTCTACCCGCTCAGTATTCAAAACTCTCCTCAAACCAAAATCAGTTCGACCATTCT